AGGGGGAACCCCAACCAAAAAAAAAAAAAAAAAAAAAAAATACAGGAAATTGGGCTTGAGATATAGGGAGACACTTTATACTATCCTCACAATTTTTCTGTACATCTAAAACTGAATTAAGTTTACTTAAGAAAAAAGCCAGTTATTTAGTGGAGATGATTGATTAGGTCTGGATAAAGAACAGGACATCTCAAAATTGGACTTTCCAGCCTATAAAAGTGGTGCTGGCTATTAACATCAATGGAGAGTAACAGTACAATGAGTGAGGAATGTGTGTCTATATGTCCTGCCTTGCTAGCTAAGGCCAGCTGCACACAGAGGTAGGACAGCTGAATGTATGGGTGACAAATAGTACCACTCTCCCTCAAGCTCCACTTTCCACCCACTGAAGCTGGAGTGAGAGGGCATTGTTAGGGGTTAAGATGGTGTTTCTCACACTTGAGCAGTATACAAAACGACCCCTTTTAAAGGAAAGTATGCCAGTTGTGATGGCTCATGCCTGTAATCCCAGCAGTTTGGGAGGCGGAGGCAAGAGGATTATCTGAGTCCAGGGGCTCGAGACCAGCCTAGGCAACTTGGTGAGACCTCATCTCTACAATAAATCAAAAATTTAGCTGGGTGTTGTGGTACGTGCCTATAGTTCCAGCTACTTGGAAGACTGAGGCAGAAGGATCACCTGAATCCAGACTTTAAGAAACTAAAGTCTCAATCTAGGTAGTGTCTTTCAGCTATGAATTATCACTATAAGAACTGAGTCTTTAGAACAGGTAAAATGTTGTTTTTGAAATGAAAATTCACAGTTTAAATTTTTCCTGTCACTTCAGAACTCTGATGTTGTCAAATCCATGAGAGAGAAAAAGAAGAAAAAGAGCATAATCGTGGGGAGCTCTAGGATGATGACAGTTGTGCAGAAGGCCCAGGGGCAGCCAGGTTAGAAGTCGGCTCTAGGAGACAGGTCTTTCAGAAAAGAAATGCACCTGATAGTGATCTGATGCCTGGCCTATGAGGAAATTTTGAGACAGTTTATTGATCTTTTGCAACATTTAAAAATAATTACCAGCCGGGCTCGGTGGCTCAGCCTGTAATCCTGCGCCTTTGAGAGGCTGAGGTGAATGGATTGCTTGAGCCCGCGGGTTCGAGACCCACCTGGGCAACTTGGCAAGACCTCATCTCTACAATAAATCAAAATGAGCCGGGCGTGGTAGCGCGCGCCTGTAGTTCCAGCTACTTGGAAGGTTGAGGTGGAAGGATCGCCGGAGTCCCGCAGGTCGAGGCTGCGGTGGCCAGGAGCAGCCACTGTACTCCAGTCTGGGCTACAGAGTGAGACTCCAACTCAAAAAAAAAAAATAAATAAATAAAATAATAATAATTGCCAATAGGTATATAACAAATAACAAAGATGCAGTTATTAATTTCAGGAAAATAATTATAGTTCAAGGGAGGAAAGGTAATCATGGTGTACTGCCTGGCTCAGTATTTACATAGTCATCATGTAAACACTGAAAGTTATTTTAATGAAAATTGTGATGCAGTTATGTAAGATGGGGAGAATGAACATGGAAGGTTCTAAAGGTAACACAATAGAAAGTAAGTAGTCTAAAATCAGTAAATCAAGCAGCTAAAAAATGAAAAGTAGCTGCATTTAGGGAGTAAGACTGAAGTAGGAAAGGGTAAATTGAAACCAGTTTCCATTATTATCCTTCTAGTACTCTTAGAGTTTTTAGAATCTATTACTTTGCCTACGTATTTTGATAATAACAAAAAGGCACAGATACCTTCTATTTGATTCCAGGGAAATCTGGTCAAATTCACAAAGGTGCTTATTGTATCCACGCCCTGATATGTCTTCAGGGTCTGCAAATGTTTAGAATGAGAGCACTGTCCTCCAGCATTAGTGAAAATGACGCAGTGAGACGCTGAGAATTCAGTATCTGGCAATGGTTCTGAGTTCCCCCCACTAATCCAAACCCCACGAAATCATTAAAACATACAAATATAAGATAGGCTTTATTCAGTTTCTCCCTAGGTCTTCTGCCAGATTCCCATCCTAACTGCCTTGCCTAATAGGAATGTCCTGGCATACAAATTCATAGTTACACTCTAGACAGAAATGCCCAAAGTGCCAGGCACCAAGAGTTTGACTGGTTCATTCATGCTGTGAAGGTGTACCCTCACAGATCTGGAGTGGATGAAGTCCTTTCTGCCCCACATATCAATATGGAAGTCTTGGCCACAAACCTTGTATCAAGGGCCTACTCTGTCCAGTGTAGACTGCTATGCTGGCTCATCTCCCTAATGAGAACCTGTGTATTTATTTGTATAGTGATGAAAATCTCTGCACCTGTAATGTCAATTTTCCTGCAAACTGATTCTCTCCCAAAGAAACACATCTGTGTTCCAGGTTGAAAATTCTACATTAATTCATGGAATTTTATGGACTTTTTTTTCTTTTTGGGGGAAAGCAGGATTTATTGAGAGAACAGAAAAACTCCACAGCAGGAGGGGACCCGAGGGGGTTGCCTAGGAGGGTGAGTTTTCTTATTTCCTTACTCTACCCTCCAGATTCCTTAGTATATTAGATAAATTCCAGAGTGAATTTATAAACAGACACCAATGGAGAGAAAACCTTTATTTGCTTAACGACAAATGTGGATGAAGCAAGTAGAAGCATACGAGAACCAGATTAAGGTAGAAAACAAGAAGAAAGGGCCCTCTGGGAATACAGGAGAAAGAGCAGAGGCACTCCGGTAGCCACAAACACATTTCTTTGTTGGCCTCTGGACTCTGCTCTCTCCTCATACTCCCCCGGGACTGCTTTTTCTTTGACTCATAGTCTCACTACTGGCCCCTTTTCCTTGTCTCAGTCCCAGAATGCTCCCTCCCCTAAACCTTATAGAGGAGTGCAGCTTCATACCAATTACATAGGGCAGCAGCTACTCAGATGCTGTTACTTGAATTTTTTGCAGCTCTTAGTGCTTTTGACACCCTTGGACCGCCAGGAGTGGCCCCTACTGCCCCCAGAAGACTCTGGCTTTTCTAATAAAGAAGGTCTTGGTGAATCTGTCCAAGAAGGACCTGGATTCTCTTCCAGGCTGGTGTCTCTGCAGAAATCCTCCTCAGGGTGGAAGATGCTGTTACAGTGGGGGACGTCACCTGAATTTTCAGGTATGTAGTCTGTGGTGAAAGAGAGGAAAATTCAACCTTCTGCTTCTCCCAGGTGCAGGTCCTTAAGCCCTTCCCCAGCCACTTTCTTTCCAAAGTTAGAAGTCCTGGTGGCATGAACTCCTCCTTTCCCAGGCACCACAAGTCCCCCTGCCCTCACTGCAGTTCCTAGGCCAGCCCCCTCTCCAGCCTCACCTGTGGCCAAAGCAGGTGAACACTCCTCACATTCCCATTTCTTACTGTTGGATCTAGGAGAGGAACAGCCCTCATGGGTTCCATGGGATCCACATGTAGCACACAGAATGAGGCACCACCTCCTACAGGAAGAGCCAAGGAAGGCTTGTGGGGCCAACAAGAACACAGACTGCCACTCTGGGATGTTTGCTATAGGCTAACCTGAACTGTACTGAAGGCTTCCCAGGCATTTTTTACTGCACATTTTATCCATCACAGATACATGACTCAGAGAGGCTGAGTACTGATTCCAGAAGCCTGCAATGAGGCACAACCCCTTGCAAGGTGGATCTGGAAAGGATTTGGCCCTGAATGCCTCTCCACTGGGCACAAGGAAAAGTAGAGCCTGCAGAGACCTGTTCACTTGCACCCAAGTGAGTCAGGGGCTGGTCAAGAATAGGACTTAGCAATTGTGTTTACTCTGGGGTGTTGCAGACAAGAGTGAATTTCTTGCTCCTAATAACTGTGCCAAGGTCTAATTCTAAGATGGCACTGAGGAATGCTCTTTCTAGCCAGAAGCCTTTGCCTACCCTTCATCTTCAAAGCTGTCTCTGCCTTGTTTGTACAGACAGGTAGGGGCATCACAATGCTGATAGCGCTGATACAACTCTGAAAAAGCCCCTGGCTCGAGTTCCCAGGCAGCATCTCTGCAGTGGGAAAAGAAACAGCGAATAAGGAACCCATAATCAGTGAGTGAAACCTTTTGTCCATCAGGGAGGAACTATGAAGAGCCCAAGCTAAGCACAGCTAAAGAGTTCAACAGGTTGCCTGACACTTCCAACACTTCCTGAGTTTTCAGGTAGGTAGTGTGGTGAAAGTAAGCCAGGAGAAAAAAACTCACCCCTCTCCTTCTCCCAGGTGCAGGTCCTCAAGCCCCTCCCTAGCCACTTTCCTTCCACAGCTAAAGGAGCCAACTATAAGTGTCTGGGCAAATGGCCTAGCAGTGGGAGAGGGTTGAAACAGGATAAAAGAAATATGGGGGAGTTCCTTAGTTCCATCTAGGAGTTAAAAAATCCAACCCCCCAATAATTCTGATCCCTGAAATGCTCTTTTCAGCAACACACCACCCCCACTTTTTCCTTCCCTTTTCTTCTGATAATTGAAAATGCTTCCTCCATCCTTTCCATCTTCACTGTGTATCAGTGCCTCTGCAGCCCTCATTCTCTGAGCTATCATCTTACCTCCTCTCTAGAAATCTGCGCAACCCACTCCCTTCCTCAATTCCTGCTTTAGGGTTCTACTACCTGTCTGGAATATGAATTCCCATTCTCAGCATTTCTTGGGGAAACTCTTTTCGATTATTACACTGTGGACATTTGAAGAAATGCTTTGCTGATGTATGGGCATATTTCTGCAAGAGAAACACGGAAGAGCTTTGTGTTTGTAAAAACACTTTGACCACCTTCTCTTTTTTTTTTTTTTTTTTTGAGTTGGAGTCTCACTGTCGCCCAGACTGGAGTGCAGTGGTCGCTCCTGGCCACTGCAGCCTCAACCTGCTGGGCTCCGGCGATCCTTCCGCCTCAGCCTTCCAAGTAGCCGGAACTACAGGCGTGCGCTACCACGCCCGGCTAATTTTTTGATTTATTGTAGAGATGAGGTCTCACCAAGTTGCCCAGGCGGGTCTCGAACCCGCGGGCTCAGGCAATCCATTCACCTCAGTCTCCCAAGGTGTAGGATTACAGGCTGAGCCACTGAGCCCGACTTAGCCACTGAGCCCGGCTTGACTACCTTCTTTCCACTCCTTCCCTCACCCAACAAAGAGGATTTGCTAAGGGAGCTTGACTAGGGATATAGGAAAAGGAGACTGGGTGGACTAGAGTGAGGACTGCAAATCTAGGTGTCAGAACTGGGACCAAAATACTTTCAAGAGACTTCTTAGGAGTGCCTCAGCTGTTATTTCTAGCCATGGAGTTTGTCAACACTGACAAAATAGGGATCAGGTACTTGGATACATATTTCCCTTTCCTTCCATTCCAGGAAGCAAGGCCGATTTTGAAGCTTCTTGACTCATTCTGGGATGAGACCATTTGTTCTAGCAATCCTGAGGATTTTGCTAAGTCTAAATCTTATCATGAATGAGGTCCTATAGGCCAAGAATGACCAGAGACTGGATTGATTTTCCTCTAAGTACCTGGAACCCTGCATACAGGCTTCCAGCTTGGAGTGCCAAAGCTGAGATATGCTTGAGCATTCCGAGAGTGCTCTGGTTTCAGGCAGAGAACTAGGGCAGCTGTGGAAGGCCTCCAAAAAAGAGAAAGTCCCACCTGTATGCACTTGCGGTGGTAGATAGCTTGACTACAACACGGGCTCTGGATGTTCTCAATACTCTCCTGGGATAAGTCTTCACAACACAAGATGCAGCTTTCCTGCCTCACATTCCTCTGTTGGATGTCCTGTGCTGGGCGATGTTTTCCACAAAATGATCTATGGCAGGGTAAACACACTTGGTTCCTGGGATGTCATTGATGCAGTTTCCCAGCTGCCCAGTCTAGGGAGAGTAATCAGCCGAGTGAACCTCCACACTCACGCAGAGGAGAGAAGCAGAGTGAAGAGCAGCCACATGCCCTCTCACGATTGCTTTCCCACTGGGCACAGCTCCCAGGATTGTCTCAACCACTTGTTCCTGAAAGCCCCACTTAATTCTGAGCAGCTGTCTAAGAATCCCAGCTGTTTGTAATTTTTTTTTTTTTTTTTTTTTT